AATTATGAATGTCCTGAAAAGTAAAGTACTGTTTTATTTTCACTGGTCATCCTGCATCGATGTGTCCTGTGTGTGAATGCCGCAGCAGGCGTAACGCAGCTCCGGCTTATCTCCACGGAAAAGTCCAGGTTGTTGAATCATGTTGCAGTTTGACCACTGAGCCATCAGCAAGTGCACACAAATGCTTTTGACGCTGGTGGATATGCAAAATCCATCAACTGTTTTTTTGTCTCTCTGCTTCTACAGCCCCTCCATAAATTGACCGTTACAAGACTTCTCTCTTATCATCTCACCCCTTCCAACGTGTCGTCATACCGACCCTCCCCATTTCCCTGAAAGCCTTCCTGCCAATCTGAATCTAAGTCAAAGTACATCTGTTCAACATGGCGGCAGTGTATATAGCACATGACCTGCTGACGAGCTTAAATCCCGGCTGAGGTCAATATAAAAAGGATCCTGGCAAGAATGATGGACTGGCACAGTTGTTGTCCCTCATGTCTCTATAATTTCCTTAATTTATTCTTTGAAGCATGGAGCAAATCTCTGAATGCTGAGATCATTTGGCATTGCCATGCCAATAAGTATCGCTGAAGTAGGAATTACAAATTCACATCACTGTCCGTGGGAAGAAAACGTAATAAACTGAAGAAGCATGAACTTATTGAGTTTTTAAGCGAGGCGTTTTGTAGTTAGGAACAAAAACATTGCAGATAAAAGAAGAACAGTGATATTATAAAGTGTTTGATAACAAGCACGTCTTCTGATAAATTAGTCTAAACTATTTTTGCTGTAAAACACGGGGAAAAAAATCTGAATTTAGTTGAATAAATAGTTAAATGGATGATGGATTTTATACTTGCTGTTCTATTTATTAGAAAATTAACGTTCATGCCTCTTCAGCACAACTGCTCTCAGCTCTGCAGTGACCTGCAACAGCCACATAGCAAACTTAAGTCACTTATATGTCCTTTTGTCACTTCAACAGAGACCCTAAAAGCATTTGTTGGATAAATTGCTTCTGAATGACCTGCAAAGGAGCTCCTGGAGTAAAGTTTGACACTGCAGATTCGGTGTTTATAAGCATGGAGGCCTTATTATGGCACAGAGAGCGGTACCGGACAAATGGCCCCATTACTCCCTTTATCGAGAAGGTTAATTGTTCTTTAGGAAGATGTGGCTGTCACACGAATAATTGAGTTTAGATTTGATCTTGAAGCTCCTAACACGGAGGTGAATAAATGTCACTCGTGAGCTGTTATACAGAGGAAAAAAAATGTAGATACTGAGCATGTAATTAAAAAATTATACCCTTAAAGAGACGTCATACGCACTGCTGTTCATTTACATCTGGCTATAAAATGAGTTCCAGACATAAAAAAAAAATACTAATAAAATAAAAAAAGCCAATGATTTCAAATTAAAAGTCCATTGTGTGCTTTATTTACACAATTAAAACCTCATCAGGACTTTTTTTTTTTTCTAGTGAGAGAAGACTGAATAAATTTGACAGAGAGAGGGAGAGTTTGTTGAAAAATGTGCCAATTTGAATGCAGAGGCATCGGGAAAGCTCCTGTGGAGGTGTGATCTCACCCACAGGAAAACATAAACATGTGCGCACGCAATACTTGTGCATAATGTCTAAACAGCCAGGAAAATAATAACAATAATTTAAATATTTTTTTAAAAAAAAACAGGGCTGTGCAAGAGAACCCCTAACTCGTTAATTGTTCCAAAATGAGTTTGCGTGTTTTTTTACGCACGCAGATCAAACGGTCCCTAAACATGATTTTTTTTTTTCACCTAAAACTACATTTTTATGGGTAAAACTTGATATAATGAGGATTCAACATCCATTTTTTGTTATTACAGTAGAATTAATATAATGGCGAGTTAAGCACAGAGGAGTGAGGCTTAAAGGAAAACAGGCGCACGAGCAGCCTGTAGCGCTCACGGGGCCTGTCCTGAGTATCATTAAAGTCCTCTGGCTCAACAAGCCTCTCTTTTTTTTTTTTTAGCTTCCTCCTTCTATCACAGGTAATTTACACCAAAGGGTAAGCAAACCGCCTGCGCGCCACACAGGACTGTCATCGACGCAATTTGTCTCCTCTTTTGGAGCAGCTGGAAGTTCAGCAGCCGAGGCCTCACTTTTACTGAGGGAGCTCCAAACTTTAACAGCGTTTTAATATTCCATGTTTCACTTAGACAGAAAACAAAAAGCAGAACATTAAATAATAATAATGATAATAAGTTGCCTTTTTTTCCCATTACTTATCAACATAATTAATAAAATATATCACAAGGTGATTTTGGAGTGGTGAGCATCAAAACTTTCATATATATATATATATATAAATAAAAAAGAACATGTGAAAACGTAACTTGATTTCATGAAATCAAAGTGATTTGGTCCAGTTCACTTTACTTGCTAAGCCAAAAATAAGCATCACGACAAGAATATCAATTTATTCCCAAAGCCATTCTTTTGGGAGTTACGTCAGCACTCATTTAGTTAAACGAACTGAACTCGCGGCTCCTGTGTCTGCGGCCATGTAGAACACAAGTCTGCGCGTAATTGGCCCATAATTGCATAATTAAAAGCAAACCAAATTTGTAAGATTGAAGACCTTGGATTTCACTGCATTTCCACGCTGGGGTTGAGGAGGGAACAAGGAAAGCCATGACTTCATTAGGAGTTTTCGTCGTGACCCAGCAACCCGCGGAGACGCGCGTCGCTCGCGGGGAGACGCGCCCCGTCGGCCGCTTGTTTCTCTCAACTTGTCGCCGTTGCGCCAAAAACAAGTTCCAGCTCTGATCATAAATCACCTGCCTGCATTAAAAGCTTAGGTAAACTCTCAGCCAGGGCAGTTGGATGCAATTTATGGCATCGCTCATGTAGGAGGCGGATTGTTGGAACAAAATGCATCAACTTCAAACCAGCGGGCAGCAGAAAAAAAATAAATAAAACCCCACTTCAGTCCAAAATAAAACGAGCTCCTGCTTCTTTATTATAGCTAGTCTCTCTCCCCCTCGCTTTGTGTGTGTGTGTGTGTGTGTGTGTGTGTGTGTGTGTGTGTGTGTGTGTGTGTCTGTGTGTGTGTGTGTGTGTGTGTTT